TTTTCATTCCTGAATATCAGTGTAAGCTTGTCTGAAAAAATTTTTAAAAACCTTTGCTAAATTTAATTTGCTGTTTCTTCCAAAGAGAGGGGGACCCATACCAGATATCTCCACTCATTTTGTAGCATTGTTTAAACAAAGGGAACAAAAATTTAGTAATAAGGTATATTACCCCAAAAAAATGTTAGGGGGAAAAGGGGGAAAATGGACCCCCCCAATTTCTTTTTTCCCCCCATCCTTCCAAAAAAAATTTAATTTTTTCCCCCCTTTTCCCCCAAACTTACCCCCCCTGTTTTCTTTCTTAACCCCCTCCTTCCTCCCCCCCCCCCCTCCCCTTAATTTTTTATTTTCCGGAAATTTTCCAAAAAAAAATTTTAAATTTGGAAATTATTAAGGGATTTGGAAAACAAAAATTCAAGGTACGTTTTAAAACTATTAAGCCAAAGGAAAATTTTCCGTTTAAAAAAAATTGCAAAATACAAGTTATTTTTAAAAAAACCAAAAAAACCCCCTGGGGCCAAAAAAAATTTTTACCATCTAGAGCCAAAACTTGTAGATCCCCTACTCTAGAACAAATTTTTCTGTTTAAAATCATTAAATACTGTTGAATTTTATTTTTTCCCTTTTTTCATATTCTTGTAAAATTTTTAAAAAGAAGCCAGATTCATTCATGCCACATTCATGTGGCTTATTTTTTTACTAAGCAACCCCCTCAAAGCTTATCCAAAAATACTTTAAATTTTTTCTTTAACATTTAAAAATTTTGTTTAAATTTTTGGGGCTTCCAACACTGTTTTGGAACTCCTTAGGGGGCCCGGTTAATAGGCAAGACTTTAAATGATGAGGGGGTTTCAGTAATATACAAAACTGACCATTAAAGATAAGGGCAATGATGTAAAGTTAGGGTTTTGGAGGGATGGTTTGTGTCGGGGGGTAAAATTTAGATTAAAGAGAAGAAGCCCAAATTTCTGGACAGGAAAAAAAATGCAAAAAGGGTGATTAAAAAGACATGGGTCTAAAAGTTTAAGTGCTCTAGGCCAAATTTTTCAGCCTTGGGCCCTGTACCTTTACTACGCCTCTCCCCCACCCAACGACGAGGTTCCATTCCCAAGACCACATCGGGGAAAAAAAATTTATCGCTAAGTGAGGAGTATACAAATTTCTAGTGGGTTTGTGTCAACCCCTCTTTGATATTATTTAATGTTTCCTTTTCCCCCATTTGTAAAAATTTTTAGATTTTTTTTAAATTTTTATACAACATGTACTATTTTGAAATGACAAATTGAGGAAATCCTCAAATAGTACAGTGGAACCCTCGGTTTTACAATGCCCACTATACGAGTTTTTCAGGGACAAGCATTGCTCGTCGATTTTTTGTTTCTGGATATGAGAAAAAATTAGGATGGAGTTTTCCCCTCAAACAAATTTTTTTTAGACCCCCAAATCTTACAAAATAAAAATGAAATAAAAAATTTTAGTTCACTGTCTGATGTATTACGTTTTTTTTACTGCTTTTGACTATATTGCAAAAGCAATAAAAGTATTTTTTACATTAAAATTGAGGGTGTTGGGGGTTTGTTGATAAATTAAGGATGGGGGTTATGCTGCGGCCCATGGGCTAAGGTGGATGTGTGGGAAGCTCAGATTTTTCTGGGAAATATAAAGAAAAGTGGATAGCACAGTTCAAAATGTGTCCTTTGCGTATTTCCTTTTAGGTTCAATTTACTAAAATTTCCTTTAAGTGCCATGGGTTGGGGTTTCATCTACTGCATAAATTAAAGGGGTACTGTATAGATATTTTTTTTAAAGCTTCAAGGGGATTTGTACATGTATTTTTTTGTATAAGTAGTTCACTCATCGGGTAATGTTTTTACAATTAGATTCGGGTACTCATTATAGAATAAAAAACATCCCATAATTCCAACAAGACAATAAAATACAATGCAAAACTAATTATATGTTAAATGTTTATCTTCTCTAAATTAGAGTCCTTACCCAGATATAACAAGTGAGTCATCAAACACGTAAAGCTCATGTGTTGAAGGCCAATTGTTTCATTCCAGCACTGTGGCATTATCCATTTTAGAATGCCACGGAGGTCTGGTGTGTGATACAGTGACACCTGTTGAAACAAGTTTATGATATATACCTTAACCTAAGGGTATGGAAAAACCACTTGGAGATGTAAACAAAACAACATAACAAGATGGGCTTAGACATTTCAGTCCTTAACTGGGCCCTCTCACTTAAGAGACCTGCTACATCTATGTTTCCACATGGGTTTTCTCCTTTTCCAATGACTCATCTTCATTATGCTACCAACATTACATGTTAAAATTGGAATATTATTACTGAATTACAGATAATATTCTTATTGCTCAACATTACAAATCAGAAAATAAAATTCTACTATTGAAAGGAAATTAGTAAATTCAACAGAGCCCATTATTAGAGGATGACACCATATAATACAGTAATATATACAATATGGTACAAGACACCCTATAATACAACATGGTTTGAGACACCCTGTAATACAGTAATATACACATACAATATGGTACAATCTATTGCCAAGAGGAGTATTTATATCCTGGCTGCCTTAACTTGTGTCATGGCTGCCGTCCTCTCCAGTATATCCTGGCTGCCTTAACTTCTGTCATGGCTGCCGTCCTCTCCAGTATATCCTGGCTGCCTTAACTTCTGTCATGGCTGCCGTCCTCTCCAGTATATCCTGTGTGGAAAATTGCATTTATTTGAATGTATCATTATATACATAACAGTAAATGAACATAGATAATTATTATTTATCAGTTAGACAAGTAGGAATTTGGGACACCTAGGTCGCAAAAATGTCCCCCTTCGATACCTACCACTGTCATATCCACAAGTTGCTCTGGACCTATTAATTAAATGAAATGTACATCACCAGGAATGCTGGTAAATATATAAATTTGTGGACTGTATATTAAAATTAAAAAAGGATTATAGTATATACACACATTTATATAACAGAAGGAGAATATATCTTAATAATAACACTCGCCAATTTGACTGGAGATTAAGTTGTATCATACTCAGAAAACCTCACTGTCTATACATGAAAATAACAACTGGCCAGAGTTATAACATAACAGACTTATCTGAGGTTCCTGGAGTTGTCTTGTCCAGTCGCCTGATATCTCAAGTTATGCAGGAATGCACATCCAACAATTTCGCCTTCTATTTGAGAGGTGTCAGCCCGATTTTAACCTCTAGAGCACGAAAAATTCTTCCCATTACACTAACGTTTACTTGGCTCATTCAAACCAAAATGGCGACTCCTCTTTTTAAAAATACACTTTTATTAAATACAATATAGGATTTAGATTAGATTTTGCCACCGAAGTGGCTAGTTTATTGTGCACCCCATATCCATCCTGTGGACGGTAGCACGAGAGCATGTGGATACACAAAAGGCCTAGGAACTAGGCCCCAAAGGGTTAACAGGAATACATATGGATTTATATCTACATATCTATAGTTCACTTATCTGTTACAAGCAAATTTAGGAAATTTGCTTAGTTAATTGTATCTTTTTTTTTTTCCCCCGGGGGGGCCCCCGGTTTTTTTTAAAAAAAAAAATTTTTTTTCCCCCCGGGGGCCCCGGTAAAACCCGGGGGGGGGGTTTTTCCCCCCCCCCCCCAAAAAAAAAAAACCCGGGCGGGAAAAAAAAAGGGGGGGGGGGGGGAAAAAAAAAAAAATTTTTTTTTTTCCCCCGGGAAAAAAAAACCCTTTAAAAAAAAAAAATGGGAAAAAAAAAAAAAAAACCCCCCCTTTTTGGGAAAAAAATTAAAAAAAAACCCCCCCTTTTTGGGCCCCAAAAAAAAAAAAAAAAAAAAAAAAAAAGGGGGGAAAAAAACCCCCCCCCGGGGGGCCCAAAAAAAAAATTTTAAAAAAAAAAAAAGTTTTCCAAAAAAAAACCCCCGGGGGGGGAAAAAACCTTAAAAAAACAAAAAAAAAACCCCCCCAAAAAAAAAAATTTTAAAAAAACCCCCCAAAAAAAAAAAAAAAAAAAGGGGGGGAAAAAAGGGGAAAAAAAAACCCCCCCCAAAAAGGGAGGAAAAAAAAAATTTTTAAAAAAAAAAAAGGGAAAAAAAAAAAGGAAACCCCGGGAAAAAAAAAAAAAACCCCCCCCAAAAAAAAAAAATTTTTTTGGGGGGGGGGGGGGGAAAAAAAAAGGAAATTAAAAAAAAAAAAAAACCCCCCCCCCCCCCCCCCCCCCCCCCAAAAAAGGGAAAAAAAAAGGGGGGGAAACAAAAAAAAAAAAGGGGAAAAAAAGGAAAAAACCCCAAAAAAAAAAAAAAAAACCCAAAAGGGGAAAAAAAAAAAAAAAAGGAAAAAAAAAAATTTAATTTTTCCCCTTTTTTTTCCCTTTCAAAAAAAAAAAAAGGGGGAAAAAAGGGTTTTGGGCCCCCCCAAAAAAAAGGGTTTAAAATTTTTGGGGCCCCAAACGGAAAATTTTTTTAAAAAAAACCCCCCCCAAAAAAAAGGGCCAAAAAAACCCTTTTTTTTTTAAAAAAAAAAATTTTTTTTTTTTCCCCCCCCCCTTTTTTTTTAAAAAAATTTTTTTTTAAAAAAAAATTTTTTTTTTTAAAAGGTTTCCCCAAAAAAAAATTTTTTTAAAAAAAGGGCCCCCTTTTCCCCTTTTTTTTGGGGGGGGTTTGGGGGGGTAACCCCCCCCCCAAACTTTTTTACAAAAAAAACCCCCCCCCCCCGGGGGGGGCCCCCCCAAAAAAAATTTTAAATTTTTTTCCCCGGGGGTTTTAAAAAGGAAACAAAGGGGCCCCCCCAAAAATTTTTAAAAATTAAAATTTTTAAAAAACCCCCTTTAAAAATTTTTTTTAAAAAAAAATTTTTTTCCCCCCCCTTCCCCCAAAAAAAAAAAAACCCCAAAAGGGGCCCCCAAAGGGGGGGAAAAAAAAAATTTTTCCCCCCGGAAAATTTTGGGGGGGTTTTTTTGGGGGGAAAAAAAAAAAAAAAAAAAACCCTTTTTTCCCCCCCCAAAAAAAAAATTTTGGGGAAAATTTTTTAAAATTTTAAAACCTTTAAAGGGAAAAAACCCCCCCCCCCCTTTTTTTTTTTTTTCCCCCAAACCCCAAAAAATTAAAAAAAAGGGGGCCCTTTTTTAAAAAAAAAAAACCCCCCCAAAAAAAAAACCCCCCCCAAGGGCCAAAAAAACCCCCCAAAAAAAAAAAACCCCCCCCCGGGGGGAAAAAAAAAAAGGGGGGCCCCCCAAAAAAAACCCAAAAACCCCCAAAAAAAAAAAAGGGGGAAAAAAAAATTTTTAAAAAAAAAAAAAACCCCCCCTTTAAAAATTTTTGCCAAAAAAAAAGGCCGGAAAAAAAAACCCCCCCCTTTTTTAATTGGGGGTTTTTTTTTTTTTAAAAAAAAAAAAAAAGGGGTTTTTTTAAAAAAGGGGAACCCCAAAAGGGGGGGGGGGGGGGGCCCCGAAAAAAAAATTTTAAAGGGCCCCCGGGGGGGGTTTTTTTGGGGGGCCCCCCCCAAAAAATTTTTTTTCCCCCAAAAAAACCCAAAAATTTTAAAAGGGGGGGAAAAAAAAAATTTTTTTAAAAAAATTTTTAAAAATCCTTTTTTAAAATTTTTTTAAAAAAAAAGGGGTTTAAAAAAAAAAAATTTTTTAAAAAAATTCCCCCCCCTTTTTTGGGGAAAAAAAAAACTTTTTTTCCCCCCCCAAAAAAAATTTTAAAAAAAAAGGGGGGGAAAAAAAAAATTTTTTAAAAAAAAAAACCCCCCCCCCCCAAAAAAAAAATTTCCTTTTAAAAAAAAGGGGGGGGGGGCCCCTTTTTAAAAAAAAATTTTTTTTTTTTTTTCCCCCCTTTGGGCCCCCCAAAAAGGGTTTTTTTCCCAAAAAAATTTTTAAAAAAACCCCTTGTTTTTCCCCCAAAAATTTTTCCCCCCCCCCGGGGGGGTAAAAACCCCCCCCCCAAAACTTTCCAAAAAAAAAAATTTTTTAAAAAGGGAAAAACCCCCTTTTTTAAAAAAATTTTTTAAAAAAAAAAAAAATTTTTTTTAAAAAAAGGGGGGGGGGGAAAAAAAATTGGAAAAAAAAAAAAAAAATTTTTTAAAAAAAAAAAAAAAAAAAAAAATTTTTTGGAAAAAAACCCCCCAAAAAAAAAAAGGGGGCCTTTTTTTCCCCAAAAAACCCAAAAAATTTTTCCCAAAAATTTTTTTAAAAAAAAAAAAAAAAGGGGGGGGCCCCAAAAAATTTTTAAACCCCTTTTTTTCCAAAAAAAAATTTTTAAAAAGGGGAAAAAATTTTTAAAAAAAGGGGGGGGGAAAAAAAAATAATTTTTCCCCCAAAAAAAAAAATTTTTAAAAAAAATTTTTTAAAAACCAAAAAAAAAAAAAAAAAGGGTTTTAAATTTCCTGTTTTCTTTTTTAGAAAATTTTCCTCCCTGTTTTAAAGTTTTTTTTTGGGGGGATTTTTATAACCCCCCCCAAATTTTTACCCCTTTAGGGGAATTTTTCTTAAAAAATCTTAAAATGAGGGTATGAAACCTTATTTGGAAATTTAAACCCAAAAAGGCAAAAAATCATTTCCCCAAAAGGGGGCCCCCCTTTGTTGCCCCCCTTTAAAATTTTTAAAATGTTTTTTTAAAAATCCCCCTGTTTTTTTCCAAAATTTGGTGTTTTTATAAACCCCCTTTTTTTTTTTGCGGGAAAAATTGGTTGATTTTTTTTTAAAAAAAAAAAGCCCTTTAAAAAATCCAGGCCAAGTTTTTGGTGGGGTTGGAATTTTAAAATTTTTGGGAAAAAATCCTTCCAATTTTTTTGGGGCCCCCTTTTAAAAATAACAAAGGAAAGTTTCCCGGGAAAAAGGAAAGTTTTTTCCCCAAAAAGGTTTGTGAGAAAGGGAAGTTGGTGGAGGGCTAAATTTTAATCACCTTCCTAAAAACGATGATAAAAATATTCTTGGTTGGGGCACATTTAGTGTGGGGAAAACCTTCCGTTTCCCTTTTGGAAAGGAACCAAAAAATTTTATTTCCTTGGGGGGGAAAGTTATTAAACTTTGTCTTAAATTTTTTTCCCCCCCCCAAAATTTTGGATTTACAGGGGGTGCAAAATTAAAAATTTTAAGAGCAAAAAAAGCCTTATTTTTTTGGAAAAGGGGCCCCCTTTATCTTCGGGAAACCTTTTTTATTTTTAAAAGGATTTTTTTTTTTTTTGGGCCCTTTTTTGGGGAAACCCCGGGGGAAAAAGGGGAAAAGCCCTTTAAAGGGCCCCAAGAGTTAGGGGCCCCTTTTTTTTTCCCCCCAAAAATTTTCCCTGGAAGTTTTAAAACGGAAAAATTCCCTGCATTTTGGGGAACATCATCCCCCAAAAGCCAAGAGAAATAAAACCCCCCGGGTTTTTAACTTTTTAAATTTTTTAAAATTAAAAAACCTTTTTCCGGCCCCCTTTTTTTCAAGATCCCCTTTTAATTTTTTTTTCGGGAAAAAGTGTTTTAAAAAAATGGGGAAAAAGGTCAAACCCCGGGAACCCAAAATCCCTTTCCCCCTTGGAGGTTGGAAAACCTTTCCTTGGGCCGGGGCCCCTTTTTTTTTTTAAAAACCCAAAAAACCCTAAATCCCCCCCAAACGGGTTTACAAATTGGTTTACTTTAGTGTTCTTTTTTTTTCCAACCTTTTCCAATTGCAGGTGGGGCCCTTTTTGGCATCGGGACCCCCATTTTCCCCAAATTTTTTCCCCAGGGGGGTTCCCCCTGGGGGTGGGGGGGCCCCCCGCCCCCGGGGCGGTTGAATTTTGTTTTTTGTTAATTGGGGGAAAATGACAAACCACCCCAAAAATTTTTAAAGGTGTAGGCCAAATATTTATCGGGTAGGGGGCAGCCCCGTGGGTTTCCCAAAAATTGTGGCAAGCGGGGGAAGGCCCTAGCCCCCCTTCCACACTGGGTGGGGGTAAATGGCAATTCTGGTTATCACCAGAACCCCTTTGGGGCAGTGAGGTGGGGTTTTTTGAAACATTTTGAAAGGGGTTTCCGGGTTCTCAAAAATCTGGCGGTGGTAAAACCTGGAGGGGGGCCCCCCACCCCTCGTTTAACCATTAAAAAAACTGTTATTCGGGTTTTTAAAAACGAAGGTTTTTTGGGTTTTTCTGGCCCCTGCAGCCCCCTTGGGTGGGAGCCCCTGTCCCCCCCCAAACTTTTTTTAATTTTTTAATACACAAAAAATTTTTTTTTTGGGTTTGCCCCCGGGGGGCCTCCCTTTTCCCATTTTTTCTAGGGGAAAAGGGTTTTCCCAGAAAACCTTACCACAAAAAGGAAATTTTGTTTTCCCCCCCAGTCTACTCCCAAACAGGGCCCATAGTGTTGGGGGAAATTTTTTTAAAACCCAAAAAAGGGGTTTAAAAAGGGGGAAAGGGTAAAACCTTCGATTTTTTTAAGGAAAAAAAAACCCCAACCCACCCGGGATTATTTCCGGGGGGGGGGAAAAGGGGGGACCCCCCCCCCAATTTGGCCAAAAAATTTTTGGGTTTTTCCTTTAAAGTTTTTTTTAGGTTTTAAATGATATGCCCCACTTAGGGGTAGATGGGGGGAAATTGGGAACCCAAATGAGGGGGGGTTTTCCCCAAAAGTTTAAAATGAAAAATGTCCCTTTTTTTTTAAAAGTGGGGGGAGGGGGTTCAAAATGGAGGGTTGGGAGCATTTTTAAATTTTTTCCCCCCAAAAGGGGTGTACAAAAGAAAATTTTCTTTAAAACCCAACCCCTCTTAAATTTTTGTTCCCACAAAAACAAATTTTGTGGGGGGTTTTTTTTTTCCTTTTTTGGGGACCCCTTGATTTTTGGGGTTTGGCTTTTTTTACAGCCCCTTTAAACCCCATGCACATTTTTGGGCGGGCAGTGGGGGGGTTTTGGTGGGGGGAAATTTCCCCCAAGCTTAAACACATTTTTTCCCTTTGAAGAAAAGCCCTTCCTTGAAACCCCTCTTGGGGGGCACCAAGGAGGGTTTGTTTTCAAAAATTGGGGGGGAAAACCGAGTCAAGGGGAGCCCCCCCTAAAACAAACGTCGAACCCCCCTGGGCCCCCCTTTTCCCCTTAACTTTTTTTTTTTGGGGGTTTTTTTTTTTTTTTTTTTTTTTTTTTTGGGGGGGAAAGCTATTTTCCCTTTTTCCCCTTTCCCCTTTTCCCCCCAAAAAAAAATGGGGTTCCCCCCCCTTTTTGGAAAAATTTTTCCCCCAATGTTTTGCCCATTTAAATTGTTTTAAACCCTTTGGTGTAAAAATACCCAAACCCCAAAAATTTTTCCTCCCCTTAAACTTTCCCTTAAAGCTTTTTGAAAAAGGCAAATTTTCCCCCACTAAAAAGGGGGGGGTCAGAAGCCCAAAAAATAGATCCCAAGCACAAGGGGGCCTGGGAAAGAAACCCCCTTTCCCCAAACCCATGGTTTGGGGAAAAAACGAAAATTAAATATTTTAAAAAAAAAAAAAAAAAAAAAAAAAAAAAAAAAAAAAAAAAAAAATTTAAGGAAAAGTTTTAAAAGGGGGGCCAAAAGTTAATAAAACCCCCGGTCGTTTTCCCCTTTGGTCCCCCACCCCTGGGAAAAACCCCCCACTTTTTACAAAAGGGTTAAAAAAGGAAATAAAAAGTTAAGTGTCCCAGCGGTAGAAAAAGTTTAAACCAGAAAACCTAAAAAATTCCCCCCACTTCCCACCGCTTTTTTAATTTATGTTGAACCAAGTTTTTTAAACCAAGGTACCCCAAGGGGGAACACTTTAAATCTTTAAAATTTAACCCCTTTTTTTTTTGATGTAAATATGGGTTTTGGGGGGAGTGGTCCCCGGGGGTCGAAATTTAAAAAAACAGGGGAAAACTTTTTTTTAAAAAGGTCCCCCACACTGGGCCCCCCCACTTTTTTGGGTTACCAGGGGTTTTAAATGTGTTTTTTTAATTTTGTCATTTGGGGTGCCCTGCAGTCAAAAAAATTTGGGTTTGGAAATAAAAAATTTTAAAAAAAAAACCTAAAAATTTCCATTTTGATCAAAACACCCCTTAAAAAAAATTTACCCCAATTTTTAAAAAACTGGGGGAAGTATAATTTTTTGCAAAATTGGGGTT